ATGAACTGACTTGGAGGTGAAAAGGCTCGAAAAAAACGAAATTACTAATTTTAACAGCAATGGCAGCAAAAGCGTGGTGAAACGCAACATCTGTAAACAAAGTGCATCAAGATAAGCTTTGAATAACTGCCACATCAACGTAAAAGACAAAGCCAAAACTATGTTTTAAAGAAAGGTAATCCAACAAGACTGACTAAAATGGAAGAAAGTGAAATTCAGGAGTTCAATGCTGCCAATGGCCTTTAGCGTATAGAATGATTTCAGTCTATCACACACAAAAGTAAGAAGAGGACCAGACTTAGACTCAGACCACTATCTCGTAGAAGGAACACTCAACATCAAATTAAAAGCTTTCAAGGAAACAGGGGCTGCAGATAGACCACAAGCCAAGTTCAATACTCAAAGACTGAAGGACCAGCATAAAGAGGACATCTTCACTGCAAGCACAAGGAAAAAGGCGGAGACACAAATCAACACTAGCAAAGAGACCAGCGTTGGAAAGCACTGGTATAACCTGAAAGCGGTGTGAAGTCAAACCTGCATGGAAGGTCTAGGCAGAAAGAAGAGACAAGAAAAAACAGTGGCCCCCTACAGACACATGGTGACTAATAGAAGAGAGAAGGATGACTAAACAAAAGATTATCCAGTGCATCGACGAGCAACAAAAACAGGAGTCGATAGCAAGCTACAATACACTGAACAAACGAGCAAAGAAAAGTGGCAGGCAAGACAAAAGTTAATATTATGAAGCTATGGTTAGTGGAGAAGAACAAGCTGCAGGCAAAGGAGACCTCGCAACACTCTGCCAAACAACTAGGTTCCCATTGGGGAAGAGATGAATACAAATTAAGCCAGTGAAGTATGACAATGAAAAGTCAATCACCAAAGAGGTGGAGCATAAGAAACACTAAGCTGGACACTTCACAAGAATTCTAAGTCGACAGCCACCTACAACGCGCCCAATAATACCAACAGCGGAAGCAGAACCGCCAGTCGCCATCAACGCTCCGACGACAACAGAAATCCTGAAGACAACAGAGATGCTAAAAACTGAAAAAGCAGCAAAACCAGACGGAATCCTCGCAGAAGCATTGGAAATGAACCTCGGGACATCAGCGGACTTGATGATACCGCTGCTGGAGAAAGTGTGGAAAGAGTGCAAGGTACCTGTGAATTGGAAAAAGGATTACCTATCCAAATTGTCTAAGGAAGGAGACTTAAGTCATTTCAAGAACTGGTGCAACTTTCCTGTCATGGAAGGACCAGCGAGGACATTAGTTCCAGCCAGCGTAGCTTGTTGGATCATTGGGATATGCAAGCCTGACCACCACTTCAAGGTAGCAGAGATTGGTAGGGCCTTAAGACATAGGTAATAGTAAGAAATTGCTGTGTCGACAACACTATTGCATCCCTCAAAGGGGACTTATTACCGAGATGGTTTGTTTCGTAATTCGTTTGCGTCAATCTTCCAGGTGCACTAGGTTTAAAAACTTAGAATGTTAGAATGCCAGATACCTATGAAGGAACTGAAAAGTTGTTGCAGCCTTCCAGGAACGTTTATAGAAATCCTAAAGAAGTTGCAACTATTGATGGTACATTGGCTAGTGAAATACGAAAAAGTTAGGCGATGTCTGAATTATTTATAATAATTTCCAGGAAAGGCAAAGAGGTTGATAAGCAGCTTATTTTCGACTCGATTGGAATGAAAAATGCTACTAACCAAATCGGTCCAGTTAGTATTAACAAACAACGACGATGGTTACAAAAGACTTAACCTCCCCAAGCTCACGGTGCTAGTATTATATATATATGCATATATACATGGATATATATGTATATTAGGAAGCCTCGACTAGTTACCTAGCTTGCTAGCTTTCTAGCTGGTCACAAGCCCAGGTAAAGAGGGTGGGTTGAGCGAACAAACGAAACACTGTATGCAGATCTCCGCCAGCTAGGAACAAGCTGCATTCAGGAAAGGCAAATTGTGTGCTTATCAAGTTGCAACTCCACGCATCGTCATCACAGAACAAAGCATAGAATGGCAGTCAAACCTCTCCATCAACTTCATCGACTTCGAGAGGCCTTCAACAGCGTTGACCGAGAAGTAATTTGGAAACTGCTTCAGCATTATGGCGTGCAGTGCCAAGTCTTTATAATGATAAAATAATTATAATTTATATTCCCAAAAAACTGGTATGTTTACGAGAAATGCATGCCATTTCTAAGGCGCGATCACTTATGTGACAAATTACAATCCCGAAGTATCATAAATTAATACTTTTTCAAGTTTCAATTGTTCACTTATTGTACAAGCAATCAGAACAGGTTCTTATAAATGTCAAATTGTAAACCGTTTACCAAGGTCACCATCAAAGTTGAGCAGCAACCCAGACTTCGTTCCCTTTCCTGCTGATCGCTATGGTCAACCAGTGAACAGCGTATATCTGGGTGAGTGCTATACCGCCACCTGATTAAACGCTATTTCAGGAAGAGAAGAAAATTCTGCGCAGCTGCAAAATGGTATAAAATGCAGTTATGAATAATACATTATTGGAAGTATATTTACAAGATAAATACAAGTAGAAGCTATATAGTACTTGAAATGATAGTATACATTTGCAATGTTTAATGTTAACGGTATTGATCTAAGCATGGAAACTAACACGTTTCCGATGAAAATATAGCATTGTTCAGACATTGGTGTTGTTGTGTTTTTAATCAAGGCAACCAGACTTTGGGCAAGCAACAGATATGAACAAAGAGCAAGTTTTAGCTTTAATAAAGGCTTTGGTAGTTAAGATCAGATGGAGTATAATAGTGTGTAAATAAAAAGATTATTGTGAGGTAGGTAAGTGATATTTAAGTGAGGGGTGAATTCAAAGATATGGAAAATTTGAACCCGTAGGACAAGCTGACCTGTAAGATGTCTCACGAATTTTTGTAGGGCCCAAAGGGTAGCATCTTGACAACAAGCTGAAAAGGCTTGTAGATGGTAGGAACAAAAGCACGTTTTATTTATAATTTAGATCTGTACAGCTCCTATTATTTCTTTCTGTTGAGGGTCGAGACTAATGTTTAATTCTCGAGCTACCAAAAAATGCATGTTGCTGTTTTATAGGTGGGAACGATTCACAATTATGACCAATAAAATATCTGCCGATCACCATGCGCCACGCTCACTCCATGTTGACGTTAAACTCTGAGATTGGTTTTGCATCAAATGTAGTAACGCCATTGCATTGCTTTCAGCCAATCCCAATCATAGAGTATGCTGCACATTAATAACTTTCTCAACAAGCGAATCCCATTAGGTCACCAGATACAACGATACCTGAGGACTTTCTTAGTAGTATCACCTTTATACATGCATACAAGTAATTTTTACAAACGCCTTGGAAATTGCGTTTAATTAAAGAACCAAGTTATAGTCTATTTAGCAGAGTAAAATGGGTAGTGGAAAAATTAGTGATAGAATAATGTAGAATGATCATGTAGAAAACAGCTGGTTAGCAGAATTAGTTATGCTAAATTTTCATGACCAATTTTCATACGGTACGCAGCAGACATTGAAAAGTAACCCTTCAACTTATATAATGTTAAAATTACTGTGAAATGTTATAAAATTATACGTTTTAGAAAAGTATATGAGAAAAGGTAGTTATTGACTTCATACAGTCATTTCGACACAAAGTCATGCATCGATCAAATCGAAACACTACGGATCATCGTTGAACAGAGCTTCGAATGGTAGTCAGATTTCTGCCTCAACTTCACCGACTTTGAAGAGGCCTTCGGCAGCGCAAACCGACAGGTGATTTGACAACTTCTTCGCTACTACTGGGTGCCACCGACAATTATGCATCCCATCCAAGTGTCGTACGACAACACTGCATATCGAGTAATGCACAACGGGAAACTTACGGAATCCGTCGAAAAGAAGACGGGAGTAAGGCAAGGCTGGCAACCTATTATCTCCAGTGAATTTCCTTCTTGACATAGACAGGAGAACGTAACAGAGAGCGGGCAACGAAGAAAACAGGCATTAAACGAACCCACACGGAAAAAATTGGAGGATCTGGACTTCGCCGATGACAAAAGAGAGGTAATGAAGATTCCTGGACAACAGCAACAGACAACAATCAGCATAAATGGGAGAAATCTGAAAGAAGAAGCAACCTCCTCTACCTACCTGGAGAGCACCGTTTCAACTACAGGCGGAACTGATGAGGATATCGAAGCGAGAATAAGGAAAGCAAGACAAGCTTTCATTACTCTCAAGTCTGTGTGGAGATCAACAGCAATCAGCATGAAAATGAAAATAACATCCGGATTTTCAACTCCAATGTGAATTCAGTGCTACTATACGGATCAGAGACTTGGCGCTTCACGAAGGGCACTTCAAACAAACTGCAGACCTTCATCAACAGCTGTCTTCGCTCAATACTACTCAAGATCAGATGGCCAACCAGAAGAGATCAGCAACAGGGATCTCTAGAAGCGAACCAACCCAGCTGGAACCAATCGTGCAACAAATATGCAGGAAGAAGTGGAGGTGGATTGGCCATACTCTGAGAAAGCAAACCATCAAGTAAGTGACATCTCACGCCAGGCCATTGCTCGAGTGGAACCCGAATGGGAAGCGGCGAGTTGGTTGTCAGTGCGACGGTGACATGGAGGAGGTCATGTGAAGAGGTGAAAGCATGTGGGCAGACGTGGAGGTAGGTGAGAACTTTGGGAGAGAACCGAACGCAAATGAGACGTGCGGCTGAAGCCCTATGTTCCTCTAGGAATTAAAGGAAACAATTATAAGTACACATATAATCATCAACGTGATCGTTGACATATTTTCTCAATTTATGCAAGCAATAACTGCTAGAATAAAATCACGTCATTTTACCTGGCCTAATGCTTCTTTCTGGATTTGTTTTAATCCGTCGTTAATTTAAACTTTGTGTGTGCTAGGTTAAGCAGGCGTGGTGCATTTGATTTCTCACGTGGCCATGGTAAGTTAGGCAGGGTAAGGTGTGGTTTCCCTCATCTCCTTGAATGGTATTTGTACTTAAGATTTTAGGTGACTCTAAACTAAAGCAGCACAAAACTGATGAGTGGATTGATGACCTTAATAAATTTATGTATAGAAATTGTCCAAACCTGACAACGAAGACTCCTATGAGAAATTGGAAGCTGTTCTTGGAAAATATGCAAGAAACTATTCTACGTAACTACTTTTTGCCGTTGCATTACTGTTGTTTATTCGTCTTCAAATTACGCATTCCTGCTTCAGACGTGTCTGATCGTACGATAGACATCTGTCAAGGTCTTAATAAAGTAGTTTAGTTTTGGTATGTTGCGGTTCAGAGTCACTGGACTTAACTGTATGTCTAGCCGTATCATTATGTGTAGCGAAGTGCATTGCCTCAAGAAGCTGACTTTCAGTCGTTGATGAAGTGACTGATGTATGACGATTACGGCATGCGAAAAATTTCACTCAACGGAAGTCCTGCAGGTTAACAATAGATGTCGCCCTACCTATGTTCCAATTCTTAAATCAGGACTTAAGAAAATTTTCGGATTTCGTTTGTCTGATATCTGTATTTGAACTCAAATTATAAGAACTCAGCAGTTGAAATTTATGGCCACACTGGTATCCACTTATTTTTGCTCCGTTTCAAAACGGCGCTCACATTTTGTAAGTTCGCCCTGTCATCGTATCCATGCAAAACAGCGAAATGATACGAAATCTGCAAAGCGAATTATGACTAGACTCAGCGGGTGAATCTGTATTTTATGTGGAGTTAACCCGGTGGAAGACTTGAAATCATGTGAAGTCACAGATGGCGTAACTAACTGAAATTTTCTTCTTTTATGGATTTGCATACTCGCTTCCGAAAATGTCGAGTGCTCGGTTACGGTGTGAATAATAAACTCATTGAAATCGCCAGAATATGCATATACGCGATGAGGGCTGACAGGATAACTGGTCTTAAGTAATGGTTTGGGTGGAGGGTGGACTGATGCACACTCGTATATATAGATAGTGCCCTCTGTGATTCAACTTAAGGCCTAAATGTCCAAATCCAAAGCATGAACCTTGTTCTCCCCTGATGCTTCCATGGAAACACTACATTCAAAAAAACTAATACCAACATCTGTTTCGACTGATGACTTCTCATGTCAATGTCTTGAAAATCTCTTCGCAATGTGAAGCACCACCTCTCTTCTCACCCTGTCATTTCATAGAGATGTTGCATGTGCCAACATTTAAATTTGCGAATTTATATATGTATGTATATATATTGCATTAAAATGTAAACTCCTAATCCTACAACTTAATCAAATCGCGCATGCATTTAACATTACACAAGTGTGAGTTGTGCAATCTTGGGGGATGTACGCTTGTATTGAAGCTATGTTGGGTGTAACGAATCTCCTTGCTTTTCTAATCTGTTCTGTTTAATAGACTTTTGCTGTCAGCTTTATGGTTTATGTGAATATTACGAGTGTTTTGTCATACTTTCAGGGTAGACTTATGAGCAAAAAAGCAAAAAAGATGTCTTCGACAACTGAAAGCAAGAAACTGAAGCGAAGTAAAGCTAAGAAACTGGAAACAAAACTCAAAAAGACGAATTTCGTCCCATCCGATATTTCACCTATCCAGAAAAAGAAAAATGCTCGCGTCGTTGATAAGACTGAGAATCAACTTGTGACAAATAAACCAAAAAGTCGTCATATCCCCAGCATTAAAAGCAAGGACGAGCTTAAAGAAGCCTCCAGTGAAAGTGATTTTGAACAAATCGAGGCGGACTGGAATGCAGACGACCAAACAGATAACGACGAGAAGCACAATTGCTCAAGTATTTCAATCATACAGTATGCTGCACATTAATAACTTTCTCAACAAGCGAATCCCATTAGGTCACCAGATACAACGATACCTGAGGACTTTCTTAGTAGTATCACCTTTATACATGCATACAAGTAATTTTTACAAACGCCTTGGAAATTGCGTTTAATTAAAGAACCAAGTTATAGTCTATTTAGCAGAGTAAAATGGGTAGTGGAAAAATTAGTGATAGAATAATGTAGAATGATCATGTAGAAAACAGCTGGTTAGCAGAATTAGTTATGCTAAATTTTCATGACCAATTTTCATACGGTACGCAGCAGACATTGAAAAGTAACCCTTCAACTTATATAATGTTAAAATTACTGTGAAATGTTATAAAATTATACGTTTTAGAAAAGTATATGAGAAAAGGTAGTTATTGACTTCATACAGTCATTTCGACACAAAGTCATGCATCGATCAAATCGAAACACTACGGATCATCGTTGAACAGAGCTTCGAATGGTAGTCAGATTTCTGCCTCAACTTCACCGACTTTGAAGAGGCCTTCGGCAGCGCAAACCGACAGGTGATTTGACAACTTCTTCGCTACTACTGGGTGCCACCGACAATTATGCATCCCATCCAAGTGTCGTACGACAACACTGCATATCGAGTAATGCACAACGGGAAACTTACGGAATCCGTCGAAAAGAAGACGGGAGTAAGGCAAGGCTGGCAACCTATTATCTCCAGTGAATTTCCTTCTTGACATAGACAGGAGAACGTAACAGAGAGCGGGCAACGAAGAAAACAGGCATTAAACGAACCCACACGGAAAAAATTGGAGGATCTGGACTTCGCCGATGACAAAAGAGAGGTAATGAAGATTCCTGGACAACAGCAACAGACAACAATCAGCATAAATGGGAGAAATCTGAAAGAAGAAGCAACCTCCTCTACCTACCTGGAGAGCACCGTTTCAACTACAGGCGGAACTGATGAGGATATCGAAGCGAGAATAAGGAAAGCAAGACAAGCTTTCATTACTCTCAAGTCTGTGTGGAGATCAACAGCAATCAGCATGAAAATGAAAATAACATCCGGATTTTCAACTCCAATGTGAATTCAGTGCTACTATACGGATCAGAGACTTGGCGCTTCACGAAGGGCACTTCAAACAAACTGCAGACCTTCATCAACAGCTGTCTTCGCTCAATACTACTCAAGATCAGATGGCCAACCAGAAGAGATCAGCAACAGGGATCTCTAGAAGCGAACCAACCCAGCTGGAACCAATCGTGCAACAAATATGCAGGAAGAAGTGGAGGTGGATTGGCCATACTCTGAGAAAGCAAACCATCAAGTAAGTGACATCTCACGCCAGGCCATTGCTCGAGTGGAACCCGAATGGGAAGCGGCGAGTTGGTTGTCAGTGCGACGGTGACATGGAGGAGGTCATGTGAAGAGGTGAAAGCATGTGGGCAGACGTGGAGGTAGGTGAGAACTTTGGGAGAGAACCGAACGCAAATGAGACGTGCGGCTGAAGCCCTATGTTCCTCTAGGAATTAAAGGAAACAATTATAAGTACACATATAATCATCAACGTGATCGTTGACATATTTTCTCAATTTATGCAAGCAATAACTGCTAGAATAAGATCACGTCATTTTACCTGGCCTAATGCTTCTTTCTGGATTTGTTTTAATCCGTCGTTAATTTAAACTTTGTGTGTGCTAGGTTAAGCAGGCGTGGTGCATTTGATTTCTCACGTGGCCATGGTAAGTTAGGCAGGGTAAGGTGTGGTTTCCCTCATCTCCTTGAATGGTATTTGTACTTAAGATTTTAGGTGACTCTAAACTAAAGCAGCACAAAACTGATGAGTGGATTGATGACCTTAATAAATTTATGTATAGAAATTGTCCAAACCTGACAACGAAGACTCCTATGAGAAATTGGAAGCTGTTCTTGGAAAATATGCAAGAAACTATTCTACGTAACTACTTTTTGCCGTTGCATTACTGTTGTTTATTCGTCTTCAAATTACGCATTCCTGCTTCAGACGTGTCTGATCGTACGATAGACATCTGTCAAGGTCTTAATAAAGTAGTTTAGTTTTGGTATGTTGCGGTTCAGAGTCACTGGACTTAACTGTATGTCTAGCCGTATCATTATGTGTAGCGAAGTGCATTGCCTCAAGAAGCTGACTTTCAGTCGTTGATGAAGTGACTGATGTATGACGATTACGGCATGCGAAAAATTTCACTCAACGGAAGTCCTGCAGGTTAACAATAGATGTCGCCCTACCTATGTTCCAATTCTTAAATCAGGACTTAAGAAAATTTTCGGATTTCGTTTGTCTGATATCTGTATTTGAACTCAAATTATAAGAACTCAGCAGTTGAAATTTATGGCCACACTGGTATCCACTTATTTTTGCTCCGTTTCAAAACGGCGCTCACATTTTGTAAGTTCGCCCTGTCATCGTATCCATGCAAAACAGCGAAATGATACGAAATCTGCAAAGCGAATTATGACTAGACTCAGCGGGTGAATCTGTATTTTATGTGGAGTTAACCCGGTGGAAGACTTGAAATCATGTGAAGTCACAGATGGCGTAACTAACTGAAATTTTCTTCTTTTATGGATTTGCATACTCGCTTCCGAAAATGTCGAGTGCTCGGTTACGGTGTGAATAATAAACTCATTGAAATCGCCAGAATATGCATATACGCGATGAGGGCTGACAGGATAACTGGTCTTAAGTAATGGTTTGGGTGGAGGGTGGACTGATGCACACTCGTATATATAGATAGTGCCCTCTGTGATTCAACTTAAGGCCTAAATGTCCAAATCCAAAGCATGAACCTTGTTCTCCCCTGATGCTTCCATGGAAACACTACATTCAAAAAAACTAATACCAACATCTGTTTCGACTGATGACTTCTCATGTCAATGTCTTGAAAATCTCTTCGCAATGTGAAGCACCACCTCTCTTCTCACCCTGTCATTTCATAGAGATGTTGCATGTGCCAACATTTAAATTGGCGAATTTGTGAAACTTGTAGGAATCATATGAATACATATATATATGTATATATATACATATATATATTGCATTAAAATGTAAACTCCTAATCCTACAACTTAATCAAATCGCGCATGCATTTAACATTACACAAGTGTGAGTTGTGCAATCTTGGGGGATGTACGCTTGTATTGAAGCTATGTTGGGTGTAACGAATCTCCTTGCTTTTCTAATCTGTTCTGTTTAATAGACTTTTGCTGTCAGCTTTATGGTTTATGTGAATATTACGAGTGTTTTGTCATACTTTCAGGGTAGACTTATGAGCAAAAAAGCAAAAAAGATGTCTTCGACAACTGAAAGCAAGAAACTGAAGCGAAGTAGAGCTAAGAAACTGGAAACAAAACTCAAAAAGACGAATTTCGTCCCATCCGATATTTCACCTATCCAGAAAAAGAAAAATGCTCGCGTCGTTGATAAGACTGAGAATCAACTTGTGACAAATCAACCAAAAAGTCGTCATATCCCCAGCATTAAAAGCAAGGACGAGCTTAAAGAAGCCTCCAGTGAAAGTGATTTTGAACAAATCGAGGCGGACTGGAATGCAGACGACCAAACAGATAACGACGAGAAGCACAATTGCTCAAGTATTTCAATCATACAGTATGCTGCACATTAATAACTTTCTCAACAAGCGAATCCCATTAGGTCACCAGATACAACGATACCTGAGGACTTTCTTAGTAGTATCACCTTTATACATGCATACAAGTAATTTTTACAAACGCCTTGGAAATTGCGTTTAATTAAAGAACCAAGTTATAGTCTATTTAGCAGAGTAAAATGGGTAGTGGAAAAATTAGTGATAGAATAATGTAGAATGATCATGTAGAAAACAGCTGGTTAGCAGAATTAGTTATGCTAAATTTTCATGACCAATTTTCATACGGTACGCAGCAGACATTGAAAAGTAACCCTTCAACTTATATAATGTTAAAATTACTGTGAAATGTTATAAAATTATACGTTTTAGAAAAGTATATGAGAAAAGGTAGTTATTGACTTCATACAGTCATTTCGACACAAAGTCATGCATCGATCAAATCGAAACACTACGGATCATCGTTGAACAGAGCTTCGAATGGTAGTCAGATTTCTGCCTCAACTTCACCGACTTTGAAGAGGCCTTCGGCAGCGCAAACCGACAGGTGATTTGACAACTTCTTCGCTACTACTGGGTGCCACCGACAATTATGCATCCCATCCAAGTGTCGTACGACAACACTGCATATCGAGTAATGCACAACGGGAAACTTACGGAATCCGTCGAAAAGAAGACGGGAGTAAGGCAAGGCTGGCAACCTATTATCTCCAGTGAATTTCCTTCTTGACACAGACAGGAGAACGTAACAGAGAGCGGGCAACGAAGAAAACAGGCATTAAACGAACCCACACGGAAAAAATTGGAGGATCTGGACTTCGCCGATGACAAAAGAGAGGTAATGAAGATTCCTGGACAACAGCAACAGACAACAATCAGCATAAATGGGAGAAATCTGAAGGAAGAAGCAACCTCCTCTACCTACCTGGAGAGCACCGTTTCAACTACAGGCGGAACTGATGAGGATATCGAAGCGAGAATAAGGAAAGCAAGACAAGCTTTCATTACTCTCAAGTCTGTGTGGAGATCAACAGCAATCAGCATGAAAATGAAAATAACATCCGGATTTTCAACTCCAATGTGAATTCAGTGCTACTATACGGATCAGAGACTTGGCGCTTCACGAAGGGCACTTCAAACAAACTGCAGACCTTCATCAACAGCTGTCTTCGCTCAATACTACTCAAGATCAGATGGCCAACCAGAAGAGATCAGCAACAGGGATCTCTAGAAGCGAACCAACCCAGCTGGAACCAATCGTGCAACAAATATGCAGGAAGAAGTGGAGGTGGATTGGCCATACTCTGAGAAAGCAAACCATCAAGTAAGTGACATCTCACGCCAGGCCATTGCTCGAGTGGAACCCGAATGGGAAGCGGCGAGTTGGTTGTCAGTGCGACGGTGACATGGAGGAGGTCATGTGAAGAGGTGAAAGCATGTGGGCAGACGTGGAGGTAGGTGAGAACTTTGGGAGAGAACCGAACGCAAATGAGACGTGCGGCTGAAGCCCTATGTTCCTCTAGGAATTAAAGGAAACAATTATAAGTACACATATAATCATCAACGTGATCGTTGACATATTTTCTCAATTTATGCAAGCAATAACTGCTAGAATAAGATCACGTCATTTTACCTGGCCTAATGCTTCTTTCTGGATTTGTTTTAATCCGTCGTTAATTTAAACTTTGTGTGTGCTAGGTTAAGCAGGCGTGGTGCATTTGATTTCTCACGTGGCCATGGTAAGTTAGGCAGGGTAAGGTGTGGTTTCCCTCATCTCCTTGAATGGTATTTGTACTTAAGATTTTAGGTGACTCTAAACTAAAGCAGCACAAAACTGATGAGTGGATTGATGACCTTAATAAATTTATGTATAGAAATTGTCCAAACCTGACAACGAAGACTCCTATGAGAAATTGGAAGCTGTTCTTGGAAAATATGCAAGAAACTATTCTACGTAACTACTTTTTGCCGTTGCATTACTGTTGTTTATTCGTCTTCAAATTACGCATTCCTGCTTCAGACGTGTCTGATCGTACGATAGACATCTGTCAAGGTCTTAATAAAGTAGTTTAGTTTTGGTATGTTGCGGTTCAGAGTCACTGGACTTAACTGTATGTCTAGCCGTATCATTATGTGTAGCGAAGTGCATTGCCTCAAGAAGCTGACTTTCAGTCGTTGATGAAGTGACTGATGTATGACGATTACGGCATGCGAAAAATTTCACTCAACGGAAGTCCTGCAGGTTAACAATAGATGTCGCCCTACCTATGTTCCAATTCTTAAATCAGGACTTAAGAAAATTTTCGGATTTCGTTTGTCTGATATCTGTATTTGAACTCAAATTATAAGAACTCAGCAGTTGAAATTTATGGCCACACTGGTATCCACTTATTTTTGCTCCGTTTCAAAACGGCGCTCACATTTTGTAAGTTCGCCCTGTCATCGTATCCATGCAAAACAGCGAAATGATACGAAATCTGCAAAGCGAATTATGACTAGACTCAGCGGGTGAATCTGTATTTTATGTGGAGTTAACCCGGTGGAAGACTTGAAATCATGTGAAGTCACAGATGGCGTAACTAACTGAAATTTTCTTCTTTTATGGATTTGCATACTCGCTTCCGAAAATGTCGAGTGCTCGGTTACGGTGTGAATAATAAACTCATTGAAATCGCCAGAATATGCATATACGCGATGAGGGCTGACAGGATAACTGGTCTTAAGTAATGGTTTGGGTGGAGGGTGGACTGATGCACACTCGTATATATAGATAGTGCCCTCTGTGATTCAACTTAAGGCCTAAATGTCCAAATCCAAAGCATGAACCTTGTTCTCCCCTGATGCTTCCATGGAAACACTACATTCAAAAAAACTAATACCAACATCTGTTTCGACTGATGACTTCTCATGTCAATGTCTTGAAAATCTCTTCGCAATGTGAAGCACCACCTCTCTTCTCACCCTGTCATTTCATAGAGATGTTGCATGTGCCAACATTTAAATTTGCGAATTTGTGAAACTTGTAGGAATCATATGAATACATATATATATGTATATATATATACATATATATATTGCATTAAAATGTAAACTCCTAATCCTACAACTTAATCAAATCGCGCATGCATTTAACATTACACAAGTGTGAGTTGTGCAATCTTGGGGGATGTACGCTTGTATTGAAGCTATGTTGGGTGTAACGAATCTCCTTGCTTTTCTAATCTGTTCTGTTTAATAGACTTTTGCTGTCAGCTTTATGGTTTATGTGAATATTACGAGTGTTTTGTCATACTTTCAGGGTAGACTTATGAGCAAAAAAGCAAAAAAGATGTCTTCGACAACTGAAAGCAAGAAACTGAAGCGAAGTAAAGCTAAGAAACTGGAAACAAAACTCAAAAAGACGAATTTCGTCCCATCCGATATTTCACCTATCCAGAAAAAGAAAAATGCTCGCGTCGTTGATAAGACTGAGAATCAACTTGTGACAAATAAACCAAAAAGTCGTCATATTCCCAGCATTAAAAGCAAGGACGAGCTTAAAGAAGCCTCCAGTGAAAGTGATTTTGAACAAATCGAGGCGGACTGGAATGCAGACGACCAAACAGATAACGACGAGAAGCACAATTGCTCAAGTATTTCAATCATACAGTATGCTGCACATTAATAACTTTCTCAACAAGCGAATCCCATTAGGTCACCAGATACAACGATACCTGAGGACTTTCTTAGTAGTATCACCTTTATACATGCATACAAGTAATTTTTACAAACGCCTTGGAAATTGCGTTTAATTAAAGAACCAAGTTATAGTCTATTTAGCAGAGTAAAATGGGTAGTGGAAAAATTAGTGATAGAATAATGTAGAATGATCATGTAGAAAACAGCTGGTTAGCAGAATTAGTTATGCTAAATTTTCATGACCAATTTTCATACGGTACGCAGCAGACATTGAAAAGTAACCCTTCAACTTATATAATGTTAAAATTACTGTGAAATGTTATAAAATTATACGTTTTAGAAAAGTATATGAGAAAAGGTAGTTATTGACTTCATACAGTCATTTCGACACAAAGTCATGCATCGATCAAATCGAAACACTACGGATCATCGTTGAACAGAGCTTCGAATGGTAGTCAGATTTCTGCCTCAACTTCACCGACTTTGAAGAGGCCTTCGGCAGCGCAAACCGACAGGTGATTTGACAACTTCTTCGCTACTACTGGGTGCCACCGACAATTATGCATCCCATCCAAGTGTCGTACGACAACACTGCATATCGAGTAATGCACAACGGGAAACTTACGGAATCCGTCGAAAAGAAGACGGGAGTAAGGCAAGGCTGGCAACCTATTATCTCCAGTGAATTTCCTTCTTGACATAGACAGGAGAACGTAACAGAGAGCGGGCAACGAAGAAAACAGGCATTAAACGAACCCACACGGAAAAAATTGGAGGATCTGGACTTCGCCGATGACAAAAGAGAGGTAATGAAGATTCCTGGACAACAGCAACAGACAACAATCAGCATAAATGGGAGAAATCTGAAGGAAGAAGCAACCTCCTCTACCTACCTGGAGAGCACCGTTTCAACTACAGGCGGAACTGATGAGGATATCGAAGCGAGAATAAGGAAAGCAAGACAAGCTTTCATTACTCTCAAGTCTGTGTGGAGATCAACAGCAATCAGCATGAAAATGAAAATAACATCCGGATTTTCAACTCCAATGTGAATTCAGTGCTACTATACGGATCAGAGACTTGGCGCTTCACGAAGGGCACTTCAAACAAACTGCAGACCTTCATCAACAGCTGTCTTCGCTCAATATTACTCAAGATCAGATGGCCAACCAGAAGAGATCAGCAACAGGGATCTCTAGAAGCGAACCAACCCAGCTGGAACCAATCGTGCAACAAATATGCAGGAAGAAGTGGAGGTGGATTGGCCATACTCTGAGAAAGCAAACCATCAAGTAAGTGACATCTCACGCCAGGCCATTGCTCGAGTGGAACCCGAATGGGAAGCGGCGAGTTGGTTGTCAGTGCGACGGTGACATGGAGGAGGTCATGTGAAGAGGTGAAAGCATGTGGGCAGACGTGGAGGTAGGTGAGAACTTTGGGAGAGAACCGAACGCAAATGAGACGTGCGGCTGAAGCCCTATGTTCCTCTAGGAATTAAAGGAAACAATTATAAGTACACATATAATCATCAACGTGATCGTTGACATATTTTCTCAATTTATGCAAGCAATAACTGCTAGAATAAGATCACGTCATTTTACCTGGCCTAATGCTTCTTTCTGGATTTGTTTTAATCCGTCGTTAATTTAAACTTTGTGTGTGCTAGGTTAAGCAGGCGTGGTGCATTTGATTTCTCACGTGGCCATGGTAAGTTAGGCAGGGTAAGGTGTGGTTTCCCTCATCTCCTTGAATGGTATTTGTACTTAAGATTTTAGGTGACTCTAAACTAAAGCAGCACAAAACTGATGAGTGGATTGATGACCTTAATAAATTTATGTATAGAAATTGTCCAAACCTGACAACGAAGACTCCTATGAGAAATTGGAAGCTGTTCTTGGAAAATATGCAAGAAACTATTCTACGTAACTACTTTTTGCCGTTGCATTACTGTTGTTTATTCGTCTTCAAATTACGCATTCCTGCTTCAGACGTGTCTGATCGTACGATAGACATCTGTCAAGGTCTTAATAAAGTAGTTTAGTTTTGGTATGTTGCGGTTCAGAGTCACTGGACTTAACTGTATGTCTAGCCGTATCATTATGTGTAGCGAAGTGCATTGCCTCAAGAAGCTGACTTTCAGTCGTTGATGAAGTGACTGATGTATGACGATTACGGCATGCGAAAAATTTCACTCAACGGAAGTCCTGCAGGTTAACAATAGATGTCGCCCTACCTATGTTCCAATTCTTAAATCAGGACTTAAGAAAATTTTCGGATTTCGTTTGTCTGATATCTGTATTTGAACTCAAATTATAAGAACTCAGCAGTTGAAATTTATGGCCACACTGGTATCCACTTATTTTTGCTCCGTTTCAAAACGGCGCTCACATTTTGTAAGTTCGCCCTGTCATCGTATCCATGCAAAACAGCGAAATGATACGAAATCTGCAAAGCGAATTATGACTAGACTCAGCGGGTGAATCTGTATTTTATGTGGAGTTAACCCGGTGGAAGACTTGAAATCATGTGAAGTCACAGATGGCGTAACTAACTGAAATTTTCTTCTTTTATGGATTTGCATACTCGCTTCCGAAAATGTCGAGTGCTCGGTTACGGTGTGAATAATAAACTCATTGAAATCGCCAGAATATGCATATACGCGATGAGGGCTGACAGGATAACTGGTCTTAAGTAATGGTTTGGGTGGAGGGTGGACTGATGCACACTCGTATATATAGATAGTGCCCTCTGTGATTCAACTTAAGGCCTAAATGTCCAAATCCAAAGCATGAACCTTGTTCTCCCCTGATGCTTCCATGGAAACACTACATTCAAAAAAACTAATACCAACATCTGTTTCGACTGATGACTTCTCATGTCAATGTCTTGAAAATCTCTTCGCAATGTGAAGCACCACCTCTCTTCTCACCCTGTCATTTCATAGAGATGTTGCATGTGCCAACATTTAAATTGGCGAATTTATGTATGTATATATATATATATATATGTATATATATTGCATTCAAAATGTAAACTCCTAATCCTACAACTTAATCAAATCGCGCATGCATTTAACATTACACAAGTGTGAGTTGTGCAATCTTGGGGGATGTACGCTTGTATTGAAGCTATGTTGGGTGTAACGAATCTCCTTGCTTTTCTAATCTGTTCTGTTTAATAGACTTTTGCTGTCAGCTTTATGGTTTATGTGAATATTACGAGTGTTTTGTCATACTTTCAGGGTAGACTTATGAGCAAAAAAGCAAAAAAGATGTCTTCGACAACTGAAAGCAAGAAACTGAAGCGAAGTAAAGCTAAGAAACTGGAAACAAAACTCAAAAAGACGAATTTCGTCCCATCCGATATTTCACCTATCCAGAAAAAGAAAAATGCTCGCGTCGTTGATAAGACTGAGAATCAACTTGTGACAAATCAACCAAAAAGTCGTCATATCCCCAGCATTAAAAGCAAGGACGAGCTTAAAGAAGCCTCCAGTGAAAGTGATTTTGAACAAATCGAGGCGGACTGGAATGCAGACGACCAAACAGATAACGACGAGAAGCACAATTGCTCAAGTATTTCTATGATCACAGCTTACGCGGGCCTCAGCTGTCTGGAGTCTTCGGACGATGACCTCAAAGAATCTGAAGATGATAAAGATGAAGAGTTAGGTGAAAAAGATTTGAATGCTTTGTTGAGTTCCAATAAGAAACAGATAAAACGGATAAGCTGTTGCCCCAAGGAAGATGTTTCAAATGCAGCAGCAGTGCATTCTAGTAAGTTTGACTTTTGTTAACTGTCAATTTGGCTGTCATTAGAATACCTGACTCCTCATAGCTGTATCATATCAAAGAGGACTCAATAAACTCTCCTTAAACTGTTCCAGTGTTATAGTAGTATGATTGCACCTAAATCAGTGGTGAAACATTCAAAACATAAAACTGCAGGGATGTGCAGGAGTTCCAGTCGCTACACTTAATAAGGGTAAACAGAGGCAGTGAAATCTGTGGCCCGCAACAGATTCTTTTTTATTTATTTTTTTTTAAATTTTGATTACAGCTTGATTCCACACCGTATTTTCAGTACAAGTATGGAATTTTCAGCGTGGATATCGGTAGCCCAAATTCACAGGCCGACCATAGATATCGGGTGTGCGCCGGCAGGGGATCGAACCCCGGACCATGTGCATGGTCGGCGAGAGTCCTTACCACTGTGCCACCGACGCACTTCTTCATCTATGAGACATTATATTATTATTAATCCCTTGAGTTCCGAGTGGAACATAAAGCTTCAACAACAAATCTCCACTATCTTCTATTTTCTGCCGTCCTCTTCAGCTGGGTCAATGATTGTCCATAGTCTCTCATCTCCTCAGCTGATCTCCTTCATGTCACTCTAGGACGACCCACTCATCGCTTCTCATTTGAATTCCACTCGAGGGTCTGGCTCGTCATGGCATGCGATGGTCTCCTCAACGCGTGGTCGATCCATCTCTATTTACTCACATATATTTGTTGAGCGATCTGCTGTTGCTTTTTTTCCAGCCAGAGTTTCTTGTTACTCAATATTTCTGGCCATTTTCTGCTCTTATCTATCAGCGTTGGGTATGACCATTTTGTGTTAAAAATCAAGCGTTTTAACTGATTCCAGCCAAATTTTGATCTCGATTCCTGTCTTTCTTATCGGTAGGACAACATGTATTGCATTTTCTAGCAGATATTTTATATGTTAGGCAAACTAACTAAACAACGGTGTGTATATTGACTTTCCAGAATCGACGAAAGACGCGAGTCCACGATCAAAGAAGATGAAGTTTGCAGACGAGTGCGAGGTAGTCCAATTGATGTTGTGAATTTTTAAAGTATTTTGACATTTATATTGTAAGATATAACAACACCTAACGTGTCATACACGTTATCACTAAAGCATCAATTTCTTTGTAAAAAATAGTACTGAAGAATTGTTATGTCCATTAAGCTACTTTATTGGAAATTGACGCAAACAGGCATGTTAGGAAAACTGACTCAATTTTTGTTTGGCTTTAGTAAAAATATGCTGACGGTTTAACGTTGACATTATGTATATTCGTCATTTTACACATTCTGATTGATGACGGTGCGAGTGGGGCTTAGCTGATAATAAGTTATGCATTTCCGAGATGAATAATGACACTAATACATTAAGTGAGCTACATTTTATCTGAAACATATTGAGTCACTTTGGTTGATTAATTAATTAATTCTGACTCACAATAGAAAGTGTATGCAACTCTTTCAGTGCTCACTTCGAATTCTGCTAATGTATGCTAATACACGCAGGCAGCATAAATCCCAGACTTCTTATCCAGTGAGCACTAACGTCTATTACAGTAATATAATCTGACTCAGTATTATATCATCCTGCTTGATCGATAGATTTGGGTCAAGATACTGAACTATGAGGTGTAACAGTCGTTAGTAATTTACTAGGTGGAAACGCTCATGTCAGTTACTTCCACATGCTCAATAATAGCATTATTTATATCTTACCAGTAGTTCTCAAAAAAGTGGGTTTAATTAACTTGTAATGTGTTCATTTCTATGTCTGGAGACTTAGGTATCCACAACTGAAATTTTGCACGAGTCTTTGACAGAAGTGATTAACGTATACTGGTGCACGTGTATATAATGAATGTCTCACAAAACCTTTGTCATCGCTAAGCTCTCAGTAATTCAGTATCCTGCCTCATGTTAACACAAATGAAACCTAATAGCGGTTTCGAGAGAATACTTCTCAGCACGGATACAGAGGACTAGTTTCCCATATGCCATTTTACGCCGTTCCTGACGTGAACGTGAAATCCGGCTGGCTGGATTCAACATAGAACTTGGCACCGAAGTGCAGCATTTCGAGTTGCCACGTTCCAATTAGCACACAAAGCTGGACAACAAAATGAGTGAAGAGAATCAATAGAGTTTTGACAAGTATAAGAGGGAAACAGAATGAGTAATGGTAGAAAGGAATATGAAAGATTACAGAGACTGAATACATCTGCACCACTGACAACGATTTTGAGCCATGTCACCTATTGACTCCAGCCATTGATTCTTAGAGTCCCGAGGGCCCCAACCAGGAAGTCTGCATCTCTCTACCTAACTCAGTTTAACTGTTAAGGATTTCATGGATTGATGCCATGTTTTTGTTTGGCCACCACTTACTCTTTTCCAACCTGCACCTATATCAGCTAGTAATGCCCGTCGGGAGGGGGAGGCAATGGTTAGGCATGCGCAGCACGTGACCTAGCCATCTCAATCTATGTAACTTCATAGCCTCTTCGATTGATTTTCCCTCTTTTCCCAACACTACGCCTAACGTCAACATTACTTACCTTATTATACCACCTAACGTGAGAAAGAGATCGAAGACATCTATGATAAAAAACAGTCAACCTTTTCATGTCTTCAACTGGTATTGGCCATGTTTCAGAGCCATAAAGAAGGACGGAGCGAACTGCTGAGCAGTACACACGTCCTTTGGTTGATAGCCGGATGTCTTGCCTACGCCAGAGACGGTGTAAGTTAGCGAAAGCAGCCCGAGCTTCTTGGATCCGTGCTGAGATTTCGTCACCAATCAATCCGTTGGTGCTGATACAACTTCCCAAACAGGTGAAGTGATCAACATGTTCTATGACTTCACTCCCTATCACTAAGCTAGGAGTTGACGTAGTCCAGTCCTGTAGCAGCATCTTACATTTCACAGGGGCGAATCGCATGCCAAACATACGAAGATTGCTGCTCAAGGTGTTCAGAAGACTCTGCATTTTGTCAGCGTCCTCTCCTAAGAGGACTATGTCGTCTGCGTATTCTAAGTCTATAAGACTATTCCCTGGTAACAAGTCGATTCCTAAGTCGTTAAATTCAGTTAAGGATACTTCCATTAGCATATCTATGATGAAGTTAAACAGAAAAGGGGAAAGTGGACATCCTTGACGGACACCACTGGTTGTTATCAATTCAGATGACAATTCCCCATAAGCCCTTACACAGCTACGTGAGTTTGAGTAGAGTGCCTTGATTAGTGCAGTGTACTTTCTTGTCACTCCCTTCACAGTCAAACATTGCCATAGAACCTCTCGATCCACGGAGTCGAAGGCCGCCTTCAAGTCAAGAAATATGGCAGTTGTTGGACGCCTAACAGTGTGTCTATGTTCTAGGATCTGTCGGAGAGTGAAGATATGATCTATGCACCCTCTACCTGGCCTAAAGCCCGCTTGATTTTCCCTCGTTTGTTCCTCCCGAGTTCTGCTTAGTCTGTGCATGATTACTGAGCCTAGAATTTTAGAGACTATGTTCGTCAGGCTGATTCCTCTATGATTATCACATGAGGACTTGTCTCCCTTCTTGAATATTGGTATAATAAGTGACTTACCCCAATCTGATGGAACCGTCTCTGATTCCCAGACGTTACCTGGTACCTTAGTTAAACTATATACTAGTATGTCACCCGCATATTTAAACACCTCCGGAATAATTCCGTCGGGTCCTGCCGCTTTGCTTCGTTTCAAATTACAGATAGCTTTTGTGACCTCACTCAAACGGTGGGCAGTGTGTATATCACACTCGGGTGTGCGCTGGAAGGCCGGGAGGCTCAGTGTGGCTGTAGACAAGTTAAATTGTTCCTCAAAGTGTTCTTTCCAGCCATGTACCGGGATCCAGTCAAGTAATGTCTTTTCTGCCCTAGTACTCAAAGCTATCCCAACACCAGCTAATCCTCGTGAGCTAGCCGTCGCATCTCCTGACACCGTCAAGGTGAATTTTGCTGATTTATCCTGTTGGCCAGGTGGGGTTAGGTGAATAACCACACTTGGGTCTTGTATGCGTGTTTCTGAAACGCACCATAGATCAATGGCTCGGGATGCCAGAGTCTTGGCTAGTGACGCTTGTTGTCCTATTTGGCAAAGTGTCCTAACATTAAATGCTCCTATATGAAATTGGTGGCGTGACTTTAGGAGACTATTGGTGGTGGCTTTTCGGCTACCGTAGTTTTCAGTGCACACAGAGTAAAGAGGAGGTGAAGAGCCATCAAGTAGTGGAGTTGCATCAGTAGAAGTAAAGGCAAGATAATAGAGATGAAGATAAAGACAAAGATGAGTGAGGACTACAGAGGTTTCGCGTGCATTTCGGATTGTGAGGGCGATTGTTACTTCCCGGCTGCCCGTACTGCCCAGCAGTCCACACCGTCCTCCTCTATAGCTGTGAGACCTGGCCATTAAGAGTGAAAGACATGAAAAGGTCGGCTATCTGTCTTTGATCATAGGCGCCTGTCTGCGTTCTATCTTCCATGTGAAGTGGTATAGTAGGGTGAGCAATACTTAGGTTAGGCTTCGGTGGAGAGCTATGTAGGGAGGAGAAATCAATCGACGAGGCTGTGAAGCTACATCGACTGAGATGGTTAGGACATGTGTTACACGTGCACGCCTAGCCATCGCCTTCCTCGATGGGCAGTGTTAGCTGACATCGAGACAGGTTGGAAAAGAGCCATGTGTTCAAACCGAAACATGGCCTCATCAGTGAATGAAATCCACAACAGTTAGTTTAAGCCAGGTAGGAAGGTATAGACTTCCTGGTTGGGGTCGTCGGGACGGTAAACACTAATGGCTGAAGACAATTTGTGATATAGCTCAAAATCATTCTCTATGGCGCAGATGCATTCACTACCTGTGACTTGTAATTTCCAATGGAACTATATTGTTCTTCGTTAATACTATTCCTTTTATCTCATATCCGTGTCTACTGTCTCTATTGTACATTTCTTCTACTTTCTTCTGTTGTTTTGTGTGCTACATGTTGTATGGCGACTTGAACTGACACACATCGGTGCAAAGTTCTATGTTGAAACCAGTTCGTCAGATGACTTCTGTCCAGATCCATAGGTTGAAGATATCTTGCAAATGTGAAGCAGTATCTCTAATTTCACTACCCATGTGTGCTTTCTGATACTCAGTTATACTCTTCGCGCCCATTCATTTCACAGAGATGTTGCATGTGCCAACATTTAAATTTGCGAATTTATATATGTATATATATATATATATATATATATATATATATGTATATATATTGCATTCAAAATGTAAACTCCTAAACCTACAACTTAATCAAATCGCGCATGCATTTAACATTACACAAGTGTGAGTTGTGCAATCTTGGGGGATGTACGCTTGTATTGAAGCTATGTTGGGTGTAACGAATCTCCTTGCTTTTCTAATCTGTTCTGTTTAATAGACTTTTGCTGTCAGCTTTATGGTTTATGTGAATATTACGAGTGTTTTGTCATACTTTCAGGGTAGACTTATGAGCAAAAAAGCAAAAAAGATGTCTTCGACAACTGAAAGCAAGAAACTGAAGCGAAGTAAAGCTAAGAAACTGGAAACAAAACTCAAAAAGACGAATTTCGTCCCATCCGATATTTCACCTATCCAGAAAAAGAAAAATGCTCGCGTCGTTGATAAGACTGAGAATCAACTTGTGACAAATCAACCAAAAAGTCGTCATATCCCCAGCATTAAAAGCAAGGACGAGCTTAAAGAAGCCTCCAGTGAAAGTGATTTTGAACAAATCGAGGCGGACTGGAATGCAGACGACCAAACAGATAACGACGAGAAGCACAATTGCTCAAGTATTTCTATGATCACAGCTTACGCGGGCCTCAGCTGTCTGGAGTCTTCGGACGATGACCTCAAAGAATCTGAAGATGATAAAGATGAAGAGTTAGGTGAAAAAGATTTGAATGCTTTGTTGAGTTCCAATAAGAAACAGATAAAACGGATAAGCTGTTGCCCCAAGGAAGATGTTTCAAATGCAGCAGCAGTGCATTCTAGTAAGTTTGACTTTTGTTAACTGTCAATTTGGCTGTCATTAGAATACCTGACTCCTCATAGCTGTATCATATCAAAGAGGACTCAATAAACTCTCCTTAAACTGTTCCAGTGTTATAGTAGTATGATTGCACCTAAATCAGTGGTGAAACATTCAAAACATAAAACTGCAGGGATGTGCAGGAGTTCCAGTCGCTACACTTAATAAGGGTAAACAGAGGCAGTGAAATCTGTGGCCCGCAACAGATTCTTTTTTATTTATTTTTTTTTAAATTTTGATTACAGCTTGATTCCACACCGTATTTTCAGTACAAGTATGGAATTTTCAGCGTGGATATCGGTAGCCCAAATTCACAGGCCGACCATAGATATCGGGTGTGCGCCGGCAGGGGATCGAACCCCGGACCATGTGCATGGTCGGCGAGAGTCCTTACCACTGTGCCACCGACGCACTTCTTCATCTATGAGACATTATATTATTATTAATCCCTTGAGTTCCGAGTGGAACATAAAGCTTCAACAACAAATCTCCACTATCTTCTATTTTCTGCCGTCCTCTTCAGCTGGGTCAATGATTGTCCATAGTCTCTCATCTCCTCAGCTGATCTCCTTCATGTCACTCTAGGACGACCCACTCATCGCTTCTCATTTGAATTCCACTCGAGGGTCTGGCTCGTCATGGCATGCGATGGTCTCCTCAACGCGTGGTCGATCCATCTCTATTTACTCACATATATTTGTTGAGCGATCTGCTGTTGCTTTTTTTCCAGCCAGAGTTTCTTGTTACTCAATATTTCTGGCCATTTTCTGCTCTTATCTATCAGCGTTGGGTATGACCATTTTGTGTTAAAAATCAAGCGTTTTAACTGATTCCAGCCAAATTTTGATCTCGATTCCTGTCTTTCTTATCGGTAGGACAACATGTATTGCATTTTCTAGCAGATATTTTATATGTTAGGCAAACTAACTAAACAACGGTGTGTATATTGACTTTCCAGAATCGACGAAAGACGCGAGTCCACGATCAAAGAAGATGAAGTTTGCAGACGAGTGCGAGGTAGTCCAATTGATGTTGTGAATTTTTAAAGTATTTTGACATTTATATTGTAAGATATAACAACACCTAACGTGTCATACACGTTATCACTAAAGCATCAATTTCTTTGTAAAAAATAGTACTGAAGAATTGTTATGTCCATTAAGCTACTTTATTGGAAATTGACGCAAACAGGCATGTTAGGAAAACTGACTCAATTTTTGTTTGGCTTTAGTAAAAATATGCTGACGGTTTAACGTTGACATTATGTATATTCGTCATTTTACACATTCTGATTGATGACGGTGCGAGTGGGGCTTAGCTGATAATAAGTTATGCATTTCCGAGATGAATAATGACACTAATACATTAAGTGAGCTACATTTTATCTGAAACATATTGAGTCACTTTGGTTGATTAATTAATTAATTCTGACTCACAATAGAAAGTGTATGCAACTCTTTCAGTGCTCACTTCGAATTCTGCTAATGTATGCTAATACACGCAGGCAGCATAAATCCCAGACTTCTTATCCAGTGAGCACTAACGTCTATTACAGTAATATAATCTGACTCAGTATTATATCATCCTGCTTGATCGATAGATTTGGGTCAAGATACTGAACTATGAGGTGTAACAGTCGTTAGTAATTTACCAGTTGGCGATGCTCATATAATTTCGGTGTATAACTATGGGCTTCAAAGGGATATATTATTCTGTTTTTTTTGTTTTCCTTGAGTGAATTATTGCAATTTGTGTCATTTTAAATGTAGTTTCATAGCTTTTTGTATGCTGCGGATGGACTTTAATAATTTCTATAATGCAGTTTTTATCATTCAACATTACAGCCGGTGTTGTTGCTTGGCTACTGTAATTGGAGATGAACTTGTGAAAATCATTCATTTCGACTTTCATTGGTAATGAAATTCTTTGAATTAAGTGAAATGGTGTTCACAAATTACTGAAAAATCAAAGTATATACATATATTAACATATATATTGTTGATTTTATTTCCATGTTTGTGCATTGTTCACTTTATCTGAAATTTTTAGCTAATGTTTTCATAACATACTTCAAAACTTTATTTCATGCATTCGTAGAATACCCTGGGAAAAAATGATAGTAGTGTCGATAGAAAATTTCCTGCTATCGGTTGGACAAATACGTCTTTTATGCTGGAAGAAATTAAGAAACGTGCAAGTAGGTTTATTCATTATGTATATGTAATGTATTTGTTTCTATTTTCACTTGACTGGTCAATTGAATCTGTGTCATATATAGATATTGAATGCAGTTTTTTCTTTACGAAGCCTTCGGCTTAATAGTATCCGAACTTTTGAGGTAACGCACCTATTAAGTCAAAAAAGCCTACACTGGCCTTAACGCATTCTAATTCACTTATGTCATTTTGAAGCAGTCAATAAAGTGATCGATGAATCAAGATAGAACTTAACTAGCAAACATGGCAGCCGAAGCTAATACACTTCGAATAAGCCCCGAAGATACTATATCGGACAAGTTGACCACCGTGTGATTATCATAAGAGTATATGTTTTCTTTCTTCTGAACAGTCATGATCAACGATATACATTAGTCTGTTGAAACTATCTGTTACCGACACTATCCCTAAACACCCGGCCTCATATCCTCAGGTCACACCATTTAACCGCATTTTACATAAGTGGTAGATGAAAATTTAATGTCGACATCCCATTCATAGAGAGACTGGTTGGAGTGAACCTGCATACTACCTAAACGTCTCCTCTAAATGTTCCATACTGCGTGGTAGCCGTATCTTTCAAAAAGATAACCCTTTTTTCAGCACACCATTGGATTTTTTTAGAACCAGTTTCCTTGTTAAACCTGAATGTTTGGTACGTATCACCTACTGCTGATGGCTTTTCCGTATCCTTCCGCCTTTCCCCATCACTGCTCTCCGTTCTCACCGATAGCTGCTACCTTGACGCGGTGGTCAGGCTTGCAATTCGCAATGACCCAACAAATTGCACTGGCTGGAACTATTGTTCCTGCAGGTCCCACCATGCCAGGACGGTTGTTAGGATAGTGATTAGACTAATTGCAGTTACCGGCTTCGTGTAAGAATCTCTTTTACACTAAGCTGTGGGTCTGAGGGCGAAGTCGTACTGCTGGAGAACAGGGATGTAACAGCAGTGAGGTGTTTCCCTCAGATGACCAGCATGCCAGCTATGCTGTCTCTCCACTCCAGAGAGAGGGGGTTAGAAAAAGTTGACCCCAAAAATTGTACATCCCGACTTATCCTACGGTGTTCCGTAGCCGGCGGTAAGTTAACTAATACGGAACCAAAACAAGAAACCAGTGCATACAGGCTGTGTGTGACCGGTCTCAAGCAGTTGTCCCCCGGGCTCTGCGGTCACGCAACACTAACCCTCTTTCTGTTTCAGGTGCCCCAAGAATCAATCAACTTCGACGGTGTGGGCAGTCGGGAATAAACAACGGCCAGCACACTTCCCAGAGCACACGAAGCCTCCCTGGGCATCATTCTCCCTTACCCGTATCACCATCATCTTTCCCCCTTCCCACTACAGTTAGTACTATTCTGCAGCCTAGTGAATCATCTTCACTTCACTCTGTGACCACAGACAACAATGAGAGCCGTAGAAACACCCCCGAAAGCCTCTTCAAGCCACGTCTCCAACTTCATATAGTGGCATTTAACGTCAGGACCCTCTGCCAAATCGCTAGAAAGAACTCTAGTATCTCGAACCATGGTTGTATGTTGTGTTTCGGAGACACGCATACAAGACTGGATTGTGATCATTCACTCAACCTCACCCGACCAACAAGGTGAATCTGCGAAATTCACTTTAACGGTGTCAGGAGACCCCTCAGCTAGTTCACGAGGACTCGCAGGCTTAGGGATAGCATTGAGTGGTAGGGCAGGAAAATCACTTCTTGACTGGATCCCAGTAGATAGTCGTATGTGTGCGGTCCGTGTGAATGGGTCCGTTAAAAGAAGGAAAGTCGGCGCTACCCGTCGTTGCCTTTTCGTAGTCTTCCCTTACTCCCCAACCGACTGCATTTTGAATGAACTAAAGGATGATTTCTACCTGAAACTATCTGACTTGCTGCACAAAGCAAAACGTTCAAATATAGTTGTTTTAGCTGGCGACTTCAGTGGCCCAGTAGGGAAGTTGTACCATATTGAGAAGAATGTAGGTGGTACGTATGGAGTTCCCTGCCGACGAACCGACAACGGTGATCGTCTCCTACAGTTCTGTTGAGATAATCATCTGTTCCTAGTCAGCACTAACTTTAGACACAAAGAGGGAGAGAGATTGCGTAACCTGGCGACCTCCACCACCAAATGAATGCACATGGCGACAGGGTATCGTTGGCGAGGGTCAGTAGAAGACTGCTGCTCCTTCTGAAACACGTGCGTAGACTCTGATCACACTCTGGTTCACGCACGTTTATGCTTACGATTAAACGGATAAAATGAATTTGTTGGCAGTGAAGCAGGTACGTCCCCAACTAGATCGAGACACTGAGTCCTTATTCAAGGAAGAAGTAGCGAAACGAATGTCTGGGGTCGACAACATACAGTTAGCTGTAGACACAGCTGTAAAAGCTGTTAATAAGCAAAAACCCAAAGTTAGTAAGAGCATTGGATCTCTACCGCCTCATCCAAACTGAATGACGCAAGAAGACTGATTCCGGCGTGCTCCGATTATGATGAGGAGCGAAAGCTACACAAACGCAAATTAACAAGAAGCCGTGAACAGTGGTGGGCGACAAAAGCGAAAGAGATGAAAAGGCATCGGCGACTGGTAACACCAGACAACTATTTAAACTTATCAGGGAAACGGGTGGTAAAAGGCAAACGATAAGGGAAAGTTTCTGAGAAAAATGGCACCATAATTAGCTCCCAGGATAGACGACTGGAACGCTGTGGAGAACACTTTGAGGAGCATTATTGTCATATGTGTAAAATTTGGGCACTGTGGTAGTAAGTAATTCCATATTAGTTTGTTTATTAGATGTATCACGCAGTGAGACAGTATTATTTACTGGATGACGTTTCGAACAAAATTTTCTGTTCATAATCATATCAATTATAATCACACGACTTCGAAACTTGAGTTTTATAGTTTTCTTTGTCCTCTCCTATTTTATCATTTTAATTGGCCTACAGCTAAACTCAACTTACCTTTCATCCAACACCTCCCTGAATGGTATATAGACAGGTCCTCCGTCCGTATCTGAGGTTACAAAGGCTGTCACTAGTCTGAAACGAGGCAAAGCAGCAGGACCTGATGGAATGACTCCAAAGGCATTTAAGTACGTTGCAGACAGTTTACTATCTGCGTTAAACAAGGTACTAGGCAGCGTCTGGGTATCAAAGGAAGTCCCGTCCGGTTGGTGTAAGTCATTGATTATCCCGATATACAAGAAGGGAGACAAGTCTTCCTGTGACAATCACAGGGAGATAAGCTCGACTACTGTGTTATCTAAAGTTATAGGCTCAATAATAATGCGTAGACTAAGCGTTTCATGGGAGAAAAAAAACACGAGTAAGCCAGATAGGCTTTAGATCAGGAAGAGGGTGTATTGATCATATCTTCACTCTGACAGATTCTGGAACTCACCGGAGTCCAACAGTCGTCATATTTATTGACCTAAAGGCGCCATTCGACTCTGTGGACCGAGAGGTACTATGGCGATGTTTGGCTGTGAAAGGAATGCCGAGAAAAGGCACTCTGCTCGAACTCATGCAGCCAGGTGAGAGCTTACGGCGAGTTGTCATCTGAAGTGGTGACAACTAGTGGTGTCCGTTAGGGATACCCACTGTCCTCCCTTCTATTCAGTTTCACCATAGATGTACTAATGGAACTAACCATAACTTCAGCGACTCAGAGATTGACTTGTTACCAGGGAATAATCTCGTTGACTTAGAATATACGGATGATATAGTCCTTCTAGGCGAGGACGCTGACAAAATGCAGAGTATTCTGAACACCTTGAGCTGCAGTCTACGAATGTTTGGCATGCGATTCGCTCCCTCCAAATGTAAGATGATGTTACTGGACTGGACTTCATTGACTCCTAGTTTAGAAATAGGGAGTGAAGTGGTAGAGCATGTTAACCGCTTCACGTATTTGGGAAGTTGCATCAGCCAGCGCCAACAGGTTAGTCGCAGACCAAACCTCAGCACGGATGCAGAGGGCTCGTTTTGCATATGCCAGTTTACGCCATCTCCGGCGTAGACGTGATATCCAGCTATTGACCAAAGGACGTGTGTACTGCTCAGCAGTCTGCTCCGTCCTCCTCTATGGCTGTGAGACCTGGCCATTGAAAGTGGAAGACATGAAAAGGTCGGCTATCTGTCTTTGATCATAGGTAGCTGTCTGCGTTCTATCTTCCATGTGAAGTGGTATAGTAGGGTGAGCAATACTTAGGTTAGGCTTCGGTGGAGAGCTATGTAGGGAGGAGAAATCAATCGACGAGGCTGTGAAGCTACATCGACTGAGATGGTTAGGACATGTGTTACACGTGCACGCCTAGCCATCGCCTTCCTCGATGGGCAGTGTTAGCTGACATCGAGACAGGTTGGAAAAGAGCCATGTGTTCAAACCGAAACATGGCCTCATCAGTGAATGAAATCCACAACAGTTAGTTTAAGCCAGGTAGGAAGGTGTATACTTCCTGGTTGAGGTCGTCGGGACGGTAAACACTAATGGCTGAAGACAATTTGTGATATGGCTCAAAATCATTCTCTATGGCGCAGATGCATTCACTACCTGTGACTTGTAATTTCCAATGGAACTATATTGTTCTTCGTTAATACTATTCCTTTTATCTCATATCCGTGTCTACTGTCTCTATTGTACATTTCTTCTACTTTCTTCTGTTGTTTTGTGTGCTACATGTTGTATGGCGACTTGAACTGACACACATCGGTGCAAAGTTCTACGTCGAAAACAGACAGACAAACTGCTCTCAAATGTTGTGAAGGCTTTAAAAGCTCCGAATTACTTCCCTGTTCATTTTCGCTGATAACAATCATAAATATGTTAGTAAATTATATCTACTGTTGTAACTGGTATTTGGGGTCTGGTTTCCACTTATATCACTTACTAAATTTAAATTTGTCTTATTAAAGTCAAAATTTTACAAGTTTAGTTGGAAGTAAATTGATAACGTAATCATTTAACTTGTCTAAGAATCTTTGAATTAAGTTCCACTAATTTACTTAAGACTTTATAAGACTGAAAAAATTTGTATTCAAATAAGCTATATTTTTTCTAAACTTATATTTAATTGTGTTTTTCCCAAAGTCGAACTTTCATCTGCAACTGTGTATGTGAGTCCGATTCCAACAAATGTCAATGAAGCTATGTTAAAGTCACTGTCACCAACCATGGTGTCATACAGACTATCTATCAAATCTAAGAAAAGGGTCCCACGTCAGTAAGTTAAAAATTTATGCTTCGCATACATTGAGTAAAATTTATGAGGAGCTGCATTAATACTCACAAGTCATTGATTTATATTAGCCTTAGTAATGGGTTATTTTTTATGTATATGTAGATTAAGTTTGTCAAACAAAAATGAAATTGGTTCTGGTTATTTTAGCTAAAAAGGTTAAAATTGGTTTTGGGTGGAGTTACGCAACACAAAACAGTCAAGAACATTGGGTGTTAATGAGTTGTCACAAACAGTTGTTAAAAAGGAGTTACGTAATCATATGAATAGTTTGATGATTGAGTTGCACTCAGGATACACAAAGTGGAGAAAACGAAAATACGTAAGAGTTCTGAATGAATACAAGAAGTATAAGCTATTAAAGAAACAAGCAAACAAACAAAGAGACTCTTCGCTGAACTACGTGTTTTGTTTTCATTAATGCCTGGATAAGGATTATCCATAAATATCTTTGGTAAACTATTTTGCAAGATGAATATCCTCTGGATAATTTTTATTCAACTTGTCCAGTAACACTAAAACAGGCTGAAGACCTTTGTGGTGGAGTGAGGAAATGACGTGTTATCAAATAAAATTGATACAACACACACACACGCCTTAATGTCATTTTTGAATTGATTTGTTAGGCTTTTGAATAAAAAAGTGGAACAATAGTACTGTTTGTTGGGAATGTTCATGTCAACGTCTTTCGTTGGCACCCACTTGCTATGAATGCCGGTAACATTTAATCAAAGGCCCTAGCATACCTGAAATAACTCGAGGATAGTGACTGCTTTCAACTTCATTTAGTTTCGTCATTCTACTTTCACTTATTCACATTGGAGTGATCAATAGAATAAGTGTCATTTCACCCAAATAAGTTTGGCAACTAGATTTAACTTGTCCCAAATGCAGGAATCCTTCGATGATATTTATGTGAAATAGTTAATTAATGCCCAATTCGCAGTTTTCCTTGCTGATAGCTATGCAATTTAGGGACTATCACTTATTCAAATGTTGTTTAGATTAGAATGGCACTTGGATGGATAAAGTGGCGCTTTGGCTTATCGGTACAGGCGCTCTGCTGGGAACGCTTCTTTGCGTTTGAGCTATGACGATGAATATTGAAACCCATGGTTGACGAGTAACATTTAATTTTTCGACCGGTAATAAGAAGTTCATTTTCATTCAACTACAATTGATCATCTGCAAACTTAAGAAATTCATGCTGAGCATCAGAACAATCAGGATCTAAAGCATGAAGGATATAACTACACTATGAAATGTTCTTATACACCAGCTGATATCCAACATGTCGATGTATGTGTCGGTGTTTTTATTTTGCTAGTTGTGAACACGTTTAACGACAGAATAACATTAATTTGGTTTCATATACAGTATTGATTTGTATGAAGTGTAAACGACATTTCAGTCTTTTCATCCAGGAGAATAATTAATTTGTGTCAATAACTTGTACCACAGGTGTTTTGATTTTTCTCATTAATTTTTTTAAACATCCAGATATGCATTTTTGCAATATGCTGATATGGACGCGGCTGAAGCTGCCAGGAAAGCCATTTCAGGTCGCCTGTTCGGAGGCAAGACTTTAGCTGCTCATCCTAATCGTTTGCCATTTGCTAATGATTTGGCAATACAAAACGTTGATCGAAATCAACTTTTTGTGACTGGTTTCAGTCCATCTGTTACCAAAAGTGAACTAATGCATATATTCCCTAAAGGGAATGTTGATTTCCCATTAACCAAAGATGGATTATCCTGTGGGTACGTATACTAATATAATTCGATACTCTTTTTCATTAATAACTAGTGCATATTCAATATTAAGATAGTATATTTCTATCAGTCTACCAATACGGTTTTCTTACAAGTAGAATCGTTAACTAACATAACTTGGCACTTCTCAGCTGGGTTTCTGAGTGAATACAATAGCGCAGGACGTATCTATTTCTCATAGCTGATTATAGGATTTCATCATGAGTTGAAATCGGTTGAAGAACCATTGGAGAACCTGGGATTACGAGATAGTTATTTCGTCCTTGCTTTGAGACTCTTCATCAGTACGAACCCGCCCGGAGTTCGACTAAGACTGTTAGTCAATTGATCTTTTCAGTGTATAACTTTGTTTTCAGTAAAAGCCTAACTGATACTTCATCGTGTTAACAATAAATCTAGTGAAAGTGTTATTGTTCTTCAGTTGTTTGACAAGTGTACCAAAACGATTTAATTTTACTGTGAATCTTATGCAACATACTGATGAGAAAGTAAGTTTTTCTAATCATTTGATGTGAAGTTTTTGTACAATAATTAAGCAGACTTATAATTGAAAATCCGATGGAGTTAGACAAACTCATAATCTTGAAATCTGGTGAATTAATATGGAATTTTTGGTGGAACTGTTAGTGCTTCTAATTTTCTTTAGTAACAGAACTAAGATTAGGATTTTGCATACATTATTTTTGTGATCAATACAGTTAACACCAACAGTTTATCTTGTTAAGCAAGACGTAGATGTGATATCCGGCTGTTGATTGGAGTACATGTTTACTGCTCGGCTGTTCCCACAGTCCTCCTTTATGACTGTGAGACATGACTATAAAAAATAGAAGACTTGATTAACCTGGCTAGTTGTCTTTGATCCTAGGTGTCTGCGTTCTACCTCCGTGTTGGGGGGGGCATAGTAGTGTGAATAACACTGAGGTCAGTGTCAAGTGATAGGTAAGGAGAGGAAATCAATCTATGAAGATGTGAAGTTACATCGACGTGATTAGCACATGTATTACGCATGCATCACTACTCATCGCCTTCCTCGATACTGGAAAATGTTAGCTGACTGAGATAAGATCAGGTTGAAAAAGAACTAGTGATGATCAAACTAAAACATGGCTTCATCAGTCAATCAAATCCATAACTGTTAGTTTGAGCCAGTCACGAAGGGAGGTGTAGACTTCCTGGTTGCGGTTCTCAGGATGTTAAGAACCAGTGGCTAGAACCAATTGGTAACATGACTCAAAATCGTTCCCAGTGGCTGGTGCAGATGCACTTACTCTTTGTGTTTTGTCATATCCAATAAAATCCTATTGTTCTTCTATATTACTATTTTTTCCTCACACATGTTTATTATCGCTACTCTTTCCTTTTACCTTCTGTGATACATGGAGTGTGGCAACTCGAACTGCTGCACATATGTGCAAATTTCTATTTTGAAACCAGTCAGTTAAGCAAGATTCTTAAACTTTTGTCTATGTGGTTTGTTTCGATGGTTCATGTTGGCATTTCAGTAAAGCTGGGCTCATATTTACGTATTCAGTAGAGTTTATTACATTCAAATTGACGTTCCTCTGAGTAACGCTCTAGACTTTTTAAAATCCCTAGTTGTCCTCTTAACTAGTTTCTATTACCTGCATTTATTTTCAATGTTTTTGTTTTTTTCCGAAGCTTCGCCATCATTAAGTTTGTTAATGAAAGTGTGGCAGCGGAGGCTTTCCTATCTACACATAAGAGGCTGGTTCGTGGTCTACCGATATTCGTGAATTTTATTATAAAAACCTCTTTTCGTGAAGACCATAATAAACAGGAAGAAGCAGCTAGGAATACCAAATCCTCGATGCTAGAAAAAGTAAACAAGGTTAAAGTATCGTCTGGGCAAAAAAATTCATCTGAACCATCGTTGACAAATAAAACGTCACATAGTGCAAAAGCAGCTAACAACTCTTCAAAACCGCCCGTGAATTCAAAGGTTTTAGTGCAACAACTTCCACCTGAGCCTGATGAGGAGACAGGAGAGCATTCAGAAGACGAGTCGGGTGATGAGAGCGAAGCTGAAGAATTAGTAACAATTCATTGGCCTGCAAAATCTTGTGCAAGCACAAGTGATACATTTTTACTAAATGATCTTACAAAACGTAAAACCCTTGTCAAAGAAAAACCCAAATCCCCCGGTGATGATTCTTCGGAAAGTGAACAAGACAGTGATGAAGATGACGACGACGATGAGTTCGAATATGATGAAGATGACGAGGAGGAAGACGACGTAGATGACGAGGAGGAAAACGACGTAGATGACGAGGAGGAAGACGACGTCGACGACGAGGAGGAAAACGACGTCGATGACGATGAGTTCGAATATGATGAAGATGACGAGGAGGAAGACGGTGATGATGCCAGCTTGGATGGAAACAGTGATGAAACGAGCGAAAACGAGGATGACTCTGCGATGTTAAAAAAGAAGACAACAAAACCTTCACCACATCATGAAAGTAGTTTGTTTTCATCACCACAATCGTTCGCTGATGAGGCGGCTTGTGATGAGAATTCTGATGAGGAAATAGACAACGAATTAATGGCTGTTATACGAGCTAAACGTAATGCAAGTAAATCATTTAAATCGTCTGCAGGTAAACGTACATGGAGCTATAATAATAAGCAAACTATGAACCATGCGAAAAAGGATGGTGGGAAGAAAATTAAACCGCAAATGGTGAGTGTTATGAAATAATTCTCTTGATAGGGTGAATATTTAGTTTGTCTATAAGAAATGTATGTAAATGAATTAACTGAGAATTTAGAAGTCCAGAAGCATCTAACCACTGGTTCTAGTAAATTTCCTAAGCATAAGAAAATCATTGCAGATTCCTTAGTGTTTTACACAGAAACCTTCCTCCTGAATTTTACGTTAGGGCTTCTATACGATTTCTTTATTTCCTTATGATCTTGATGAGTTATATACTATGAAGGGTTTTCTAAAAGGCTGAACAAACTAAAGCGTTTTTAAGTATATTTCAGTTTATTTATGTGCCCCAAACAGTTATAAGACATCGAATATAAGACGACGTTACGTAGACATCAAAATAATTTACAGCATGTGTAGTGTCGTTGGTAGTTGTCAATATTGTACTATGCTAATGCAATGAAGTATGTGTTATTCATTTATACTGGATCAACTGAATTTTTTATGTAGAACTTCATACGGAAGTGCAGCATTTCAAGTTGCCCCGCTCCATACGTTATCAACAAATGACGTATGTGGTGTAATATCTAAATGCAAAAGAAAAACATTGAAGTGCATTCATTGTAAGCCTCTTTATCTGTCTTAATCCACATCGAATTTGTCTATTCTACTGCAATTTTTACTCTCTGTTTGCACTTTTTTTCCAGCTACGTGTACCCGTAATCAAAAAGAAGTCAAAGGCTCAGTGATATCCTTCTGTGAAATATAAATAGATTTATGTTATGAATAAAAAAAATTGACTGAGATTCTTTGTATTTTTGTTATACCGTATATCAACTGAAAGGCGGTCAATAATTGTCTTGGTAATTATTCATATTCTGATCGACATGCCGGTGAGTTTACCAGTTGTGCATTGAATTGATGTCTGTCTGTTTTCGACATAGAACTTTGCACCGATGTGCGGCAGTTCAAGTCGCCACACTCCATGTAGCAGACGAAGCAAGAGAAGAAAGTAGAAGAAACGCATAATTTAGACAGTAAACAGAGGTGTGAGACATAGGAATAGTAATAACGAAGAACAATATAGCTTCATTGGAAATCATAAGTCACAAGTAGTGGATATATCTGCGCCATTGAATTAATAATAACCTTATGACGTTATACAGATTACTAGGGAACAACCAAAACTGAAGTGTTGATTCCTCTAGTTTCAATTTAATTTCCTTTGTGGACATGAAATGACCTCATTGTTCAATCTTAGGTCAGCTGTCAATCAGTCAGTTTGCCGAACTTCAGTATGTCTAAGAACGGAAAAATATGGTGCGTTACTCCTTAATGAAGGCCTGTCATCATATCTCTCATTTTCTCCCACTACTTCCTTATCTCGTTGAAAAAAGTTGGTCTAAATAAATTAACCAACAACTACTCATCGAATAATAAGTAGTCAGTTCAAAAATATATATGTCTGGAAGCAACCGAGGAATTCCTATTGATAAGCGCAGCCATCGCTTCAATGATCTTAAGGATTTTTATCTATCCGAAGGGAATCTTCATAATGATGATGCTCCATGCGCATCATTTGTGGCATCTGAATAAACGTATTTCACAGTACACTTTGTCTATATCACTGTCGCGAATTCAACTAACTCTCATCTCCAATATATCTAACATCTTCCCATACATACTCTAAGTGTAAATAACAGAAAGACACAAGCTACAATCTCTTCAGCCACTGCATGGTTAGTATGTCCAAGAGACATTAATGCATTTAAAGCCTCTCCTGCTTCACCCTAATTCCTTACATAATGCAGCCTCTTACCGCAACTCTTCCTATCTTCTACATCAGTGGCATGAATATATCCACTGTGTCTGTTCCCAGTGCTCCTGAGTGACTGCTGCTTTCTGGGCTCTGAGTTACTTTATGGCCTTCATCACTTCTACTTTCAATAGAGAGAAGACTAGTAGTTCAGCGAAGAGTCTCTTATTGACGAATTCATTTTCGCAGCTGTACAATCGCAAATATATATATGTATATGGTTATTTTGTATGTGTGTGTGTGTACATTAAATATGTCAAACGAAAATACAATTAGTAGGTTTTTGGTGGAGTTACGTGATACAAAAGGGCGTTCAGAGGAATTGGATGTTGATATAAGAGGGTAGTAACAGTAGTGATGAGTTGTCACAAACCATTGTTAAAGAGGAGTTACGTAATAACATGAATAGTTTGATGAAAGTTGTGCTCAGGGTGTACATGAAAACAAAATAAAATGCGGAATTACGTAGGAGTTTTAAAGAAATACAGAAGTTTTAATTGTTGTTGGGCAGGCTGTTCTTCACTTTGTAGATTATTTTTAAGGAGGCATTTGTTGAGATGGAATGACCAGTGGTGACGAGATGTTCGAGTATTGCACACCTTATACGGCCACTGCTTCCTTTCTGCAGTCACACTGGATAGTGTTCTTTGTCCTTTTTTGACGGGACACGCGTCGAATGACCGATGTACCTGGCATCACAGCAACATCCGTATAGTCTTGGTATGATTGATCCTGTCGGTCGAACGTGATCATAAACTTCATGACTGATTAACTGCTCGGTTTTCATTCTTTTGAGGACATCAGTGAGTTGTTTTTCAGTCTGTTCTGTTTTATTCCTTTCATTGGGTGGTTGCGAGAATTTAGTTTCATCTGACAGTATGTTATTCATTTTCTCCATGTAGTCTTTTCTGTCTATTAGGACTGCGCCAGCTCCTTTATCTGGAGGGGTTATTAGAAGTTTCTTGTTGTGTTTCACTTCATGTAATATATATATATATATATATATATATTATATATATATATATACATATATATATATATATATATATATATATATATATACTTAGTTAAGCTACAGCTTTGAAGTAACGTTGCGAGAAGCGACCTCTTTTTTGACTCATGTGTTCTTAATTACATGAAATGGTAATTTTTCATACTTCGTATGCGATAATACTGTGCACACCGAAACTGATTATTATTACTCATGTTTTGGAGATTGTATAGATGCTACCATCTTCCTCAGTAATGAGAAACTTCTGTAAATGTGAGCCGATTTCACAAAACTAGAAGAAATTAATTCACAGCCTGTGTGAATCTGAGCGGACCCAACTGTGCCATATGAAAGGCGTAGCTTAATTACAATTCGTAGGTCCGCGCAACAAAAGCACTAAACTGTTAACCGTACAGCAGAAACATCTAGATAACAATTTTTTAGTTAAAGTGTTTTAATCATGCCAAGCTTACAACAATTCTAAACTTATTCTAACCTATTCTTCGATAATGCCTTTTTATGGTAAATGAAGATTTTATCTACACACTATGTTCTGAAATGACGCTGGTCGTGCTTAAAAAGAGAGCTGGGTGCTGAATTAAGTCTTTTCGTTCTGAAGTAACGCTAGTCCGCGCTGAATATGTCCTGTGAGGGCTGAAACAACGCTGATAAGCAAACGCAGTAGGTTCTGATCTACTCCTGAGAATGCCTAGAAAAAGAACACGGTGCTGAATTAGTGCCAGTCATGCTGAAAACCAGCACTGAGTTCTAGTCTGTGCCATTAAAGAATCCATTTCACAACAGATTCAGAAGTTACTCACTATAGAACGTGAGAATTATTTCAGAATTAGTGAGATTTAATTTAGCATCATGGTAAGCTTTGGGAGTTGGTGAAATTCTATACTTTAGTCGTCGATGTATTTCACGATAGATTTGAAGAGTTGTGTAACTTCCTAATCACCTGTCACACTTTCTCTTCCGTAAAAAACAAAGATTAAACACGTGACTCTCATCCATCCGTTACAACCAACTGAAAAAGATCAAATGTCCAAACTTTAAACTTCTTTGATTAAGTTACCTAGTAATATTCTTCTTATGAGTGGATTTAATGCTTAGCACATCTGTGGAATTTATACACATGTTGACTTGTTCCCTTAAGCTAAAAAATATGTCTGTCCGATTTTATTATTGCTATTTCAAAGTCCGCTTCAGTAACATAAACAAGTATTAGCCGCAACGTTTACGCAAAGGAAAATCTACCAATCACAGTATGCGTAAGTGCTCAGCCTCTCCGTAAGCCATTTGTGCCGCTATCCTCTGTCCACGACTGTACACACGTGATTCGCTCCCTTGCTATGCTACCATTCAGCTCATTCTTAAAGCTTACTACCCATCCGAGCAACCAATAAGTTGTACAACACTCTTATTTATTACTGTTAATATTTAATCTGTGTAAGATACAACTTTCATCAGGGCACACTACCCAGTCTCAAACCTCTTTACTTCGAGTTCGTTAATCGGTACTTAAGCTAGGTAGAGTACTGAAAAGGGTATTAAGGGAAGAAGTCTGTAGTAAGTGCGCTTACTTCAGGTTTACCTTGAGTACAATCAACACCTACAAGTAACTACATTTGTCGGTGGTGCCTGGATCCGTTGTCCACCACTATAATTAGCTGTCAGTATGTAAGTAGGTATTTGTTTCACAGCCTTACGATGTACTGGTTGATTACACATTATTGATTGTGACTGTACCCTTTCCCTAAAATTGGCGTCAGCCTTTTGGTTTTGCGTTGGTATACGACAATTTTTAGAGCATGAAGAAGCGTGAAGGACATTTAAGATTTTTTGTCTACGCTGTTTTTGATATTTTAAATAAGGCGTTATCACTACTCCTTTCTATCCCGCTGCAAGTCATCACGTTGAAGCGTCCATGTGACAACTAGTGAATTGGTAGGTTGGAGGCAACTTACTATTTTGCTGGTGAAATGGAGTTTGTTTCATCGTTTTTCTTATTCCAACACTGCTATGACAGCCCCCTGTCATCGATGACAACCTGGAGAGATGGCACTACTCTGTTAAGTCTGGCTCCCATTCGGGAACAGAATTTCACACTGTATTTTGACAATACACATAGTGATTTGCAGCCTCACTCAGGTCAATCCACTCTGCTGATTTTCAATTTCGTTAAGCAGTTCAAAATCATCTCGTCATAAGGCTCATGATTCACACTGCAAGCATAACTTCTTGTTTATGGATGGGGACGATTTCCGGGCTCTCTACAGAAAACTCTTTCCTTCTCGAGGCTTTAGTTCTTTCTATGAAGTTTTGTTCGGTCTTATACTCAGCCACTCCACAGTTACTCTTGTCTTAGTGAATAGGTATGATGGGGCTGGGGTAAAATAGACTCAACACAATTTAAATCGACACCTGCTAGTATAGATGCGTAGCAATAATAACAGTCAGTTGGCTCCAAACAATAATTCCACACAGAATGGGGTTACCAGTTTTAGATTTTGGAAAAATTTTACCCATTGTGCAAATAAAATCGGAACAGTTGACCGCGTAGATGAAGGTTAAGGAAAGTAAAAGAAAAGTGATACTTGTAAAAATGCGTTTTATTTTACTCAGACATGCTTTCGATACTGCACGAATCATAGGATTGAATCAGTACACATAAGTCTGGCTCAGTCTATAAACCAAGAATCACTGGCTGATAGAAAAGTTCATTTTGGGACCATTTCACAGTCGCATTAGTACTTAGGGTACGACTCTTCCTGACTGAGCCATGTACCATTAAATGTGAATAAAAACAGAGCAGACATAATGAAAGTGTGTCGGTGGTATAGCGGTTAGGACGCCCGCCGACCATGCATATGGTCCCGGTTTCGATACCCTGCCAACGCACTCCTTTAACTCGCTAAGCCAGAAATAATACTGGTGAA